CCTCATATGCACTAACCATACATGCTACAGCTTGTAAGAAGGGTGTCATCCAGCCATCTTTTGCTGTTCTCAGTCTCAACAGAATCAAAGGCCTTCTTTAAATCAATGAACATTAGACAGTGTGGCATCTTGAACTCTCAAGAAATCTTAATGAGCTTAAAACCTCAAAAAAGTAGTTTATCATAAGAAATGCTCTAATAAGCCCCCCCCCCCCAAATTATTGTTGTAATGTCCTATCTTAGTTACTTCAAAAAGAGAGCAAATTACAGTCAGGATCATTTTCTTGGTAAAATATACGTGATATGAGAACACTTTAAAGACAGAAGACTAAACACATACATTTTCCTGTCTTACCTCTGGATTCCCACCACAGACCTAAAAGGACTTTTGAAAGATAGAAACCTAAGAGATGAAAGAGAAATATAGAGGAAATGATACACCTCCAATAGCTCAAGAATTAGAAGCATCAGGAGTTTATGACCTGCAGGGAAAGGAGAATACAGAAGTTTAAGAGACATACTTACTCCCTTTCCCAATTCTCTTCCTTGATTTATAGATCCAGGTAACTAATTGTCCTACTTAAATAGAAAACAGGAGCCCATACAATAGAGCTAATAAAGAGGTCTCCAAATTGGAACAACTTGGAACAGCTGAGGGTAATCACAACTATGAAAATAGGAAGATTAAATTTTAACTATTGAGACCTTCCCCTGTAGCTCCTGGCCCTCTTTCATTCTGGTTCCCAAAATCCTAGGCAGAATACTAAAGTAAGTTTTTCTGTGAAAAATATTTAACATGCTAAAAGAAAATACCCAAAGATCTGTTTAAACAGCCTGTGAACAGTCTGACCTAATCACCCTGCAAGACCCTGCTGGTCTTCAAGTTCCACTGAGGATCAGAGCTGCCATGATGTGTTCTAGGACCCCAATCACAGATATAAATGAATGGTCAGGTATTTGCAGATATTTGAAGAAATATCAAATACGGAAGACATATTTTTAAAAAGTGGTCATAGTGATTTGTAGAGACGATTAAATTTGAAACAAATACATACAATGAGGATTTTATATCGCAAACATAAAAAATAAGGTGTTATTTAAAAGGGAGCTCACATAAGACTGAAATTTTTCTATATTTAAAAATAAGTCATAAATTAAAAATTCCTCCCCAAATAGTTAGAAAACAAAAATGTCTGACAAAATCTTCCAAAGGACAACAAAATTACAGAAACTTGAACGAAAGATAAAAATAGTGAAGTCTGAGCCAGAGAGATAGTATAGAGTTAAGGTGCTTGCCTTTCATGCAGGCAACTCTGGTTTGAGTACTAGCACTGCTCTGAGTCATTCTTGAGCACAGAGATAGGAGTAAGACCTGAACATCACTGGGTATTACCCCCATTGTAAAGTCTAAGCCAGTAAGTCCAATATCCAAATTACGTGATTCATAGAAGGAGGGGGGAAAAGAGAAAAAAATGAGGAGAATGAAATTACTAAAGAAAAAAGTTAAAGACTACATTTCATAACTGAACAAATATTAGTCAAGTGTATCACTGTTTGGCCTGGAGTAGCTCAGCACCTCAGAACATCTGTTTTAAATGTGTATGTTTATGAGTTCAACTCAGGGTGCTGTCACATGCATAGAGCTCAAACTGGCAGTTCTGCTGTCTCTGGTCCACAATGCTGTAAACAACTTCTGGCTGTACTGCAGCCAGGTGTGTGTAAGCATCACAAACCCTCAAGAGAGTACCCTAATTAGAAAAATGTGTGAGCAGAAAAGAGCCAGGAAGTGTGACCTTCTCACACAGAGTAAGCAGTGTGTGAGCATGGCAGCAACTTTTACAAGGAGTACAAAGAGAATGTGTGTGAGCATCAAGCCTGATATGCAAACCCTGATGGGCACCACAACTAAATGTGTAAGCACCACAGCCAGGCATGTGTGAGATCCCTAGTCATTGCAAAAGCAAGAAAAGAGAAAGACATGGGATATAGAAGGGATGGTAAGGGGAGAGGGAAAAGAAAAAAACAAAATTATTGCTTTTAACTAAGAATATTCAAGAGAAAAATATAAAAATATTCTAGAGTGAAAAATTGGCTACATATTGACAAAAAATAAAAAAGAAAACCCCCAATGGTACCATTTCACAGAATAAAAACTTGGGAAAGTAAGGAAAAATGAAGAGGGAAAAAAATTAAAGAATTTTATACCTAGTGAAACTATCACAAATAAAATAAAAATAAAATAAATAAAATTTAATAACATAAAGCTTTTATAGACACACATTTTTTAAAAAATAAATACTCAAATAGTTGGCATGTGCAAATCCCTGAGTTGTCCCTGGTGTGCATAATTCCGAATCCAACTGGGTGTAGCTTCACTAATCTCTGAGCACTACTGACCCAAGCCTCTGGAAGAGGCCCTGCTTAAAAAACCTTCACATTGCATTGTTTTCAGGATGCATCTAAAGGACCTGCTCCACCAAATATAGGACAAGAAACAAGAAAAATGATCTGGGATCCAGAACTAAGAAATCCATCCTAAGAGAGGTAAAAGAAGTCAACAATATGCTACTGAAGGGAAATCTCAGGATAACCTACGACTACGCAGCAAGTCTAAAGTATAACCAATCTAGATTAGAATAAGTCAGAAGATTCTGGGTCGAGGAATCTAAGATGATAAAATTGGAATTGACAGTATGCCTGCTGTGTATGATCATTTTTGTGAGAAGATTAAACTCATGAGGAACAGACTATGAATGAATTTGTCATAAGCAAATAGAAAAGAGATAAATAAAAAAAATCTAGATGAAACTAAAGGCTATATAAGGAAGAGTGATGATACCCTGACATTTATTTTATCACATTAATACTGATTTAATCAAAAGCATAAAAATATTGGGAAGTGAATGGCTTTGTAGAGATGTGTGTAGGGGTGTCAGTAGTAGAAGCTAGTAAAAGATGCTGAGAAAATTCCAGAGAAACTCACAGTGAGAAGACAGCCATAGGTAATATTACCAAATTGACAAATCAGAGTCTCAGTAATTTCACTCTCATGTAGGTGTTCAAGAGAATTAAAAATACATGTTACACCAAAATGTATATACAAATGTTTGGTAATAGTTTTATTCCTCATATCCTAGATGAACAACATACAGCATTTACTTAGAATGGAGTATCATTCAACAATAAAAAGAAACAACGTACTGAAATGTGCTATAGTGCAGATGAATTTTGAAACTTCATCTAAGTGACAGAATCCAGATGCTAAAGTCCACCTATTATATGATTCCATTATTAGAAATGACCATAAGAGGTAAATCGATAGAGATCACAGATAGAGGGACGGGGAAATATGTATGGGGTTTTTTGGTGAGTAATAAAAATATTCTGCTTTTTTAAATGAAGATGGCGCTGAAAGTTAAGAAGGAAGTTCCTGGTCCTCCCAAAGTTGAAGCCAATGTCAAAGCTTTGAAGGCCAAGAAGGCAGCACTGAAAGGCGTCCATAGCCACGAAAAGAAAAAGTCACCCACTTTCTGAAGAACCAAAATGCTTCAGCTCAGAAGGCAGCCCTGTTATCCTTGGAAGAGCTCCTGAAGAAGAAAGAAGCTTCACCATTATGTCATCATCAAGTTGCCTCTGACCATTGAGTCAGCCATGAAGAAGATAGAAGGTAACAGCACACTTGTGTGCACTGTAGGTGTCAAGGTCAACAAGCACCAGATTAAAAAGGCATGAAGAAGTTCTATGACACTGACGTGGAAAACAACACCCTGATAAGGCCTGGTGGAGAGAAAAAGGCATATGTTTGGCTGCTCCTGACTATAGTGCCTTGGATGTTGCCAAACAGTACAGCTGGTAAATCCCAAATATGTTTTTTCATCATAAAAAAAGAAAGCGTTCTTAAACTAGATAGTGTTGGTTTATATAATTCACTCTATGAATGTACTTTTAAAATCCATCAAATTGTACAATATTTAAAAGGATTAATTTTGTCCTACATTAACTATGCTCCAATATAATTATAATAATAATTTTTATAATATAATTATTATTAAAAAATCAAAGGCCATGAGTGTAAGAGATCTGGTAAGTTACAAATGAAACAGTTAAATAAATTAAAAGGTGAAGTTTTAAATGTGGTGAGAGACAATCAAGGGATAGAAATTCTTTTTGATCAGTCTCTCAAAAAACTATTTTATGTGATTTGACTTTATTGCATTACTTTAATGGAAGTAAAAATGAAACGGAAATGGAAGAATGGAAATAAGAGCAAAGAACTTAAGACTGGATGGAAAGATCTGGAAGTTCTTGCTAATACCCTATGCTGGCAACTGTGGCTCTTATAAATTTTGTCCCTCGTGAGTCATCCGTAGCCTATTTCCCCTTTGGTGTGGTAGCTGCTCCATTGACGTCCTCCTGTGTTTATTGTACTAGGAACACTAGACACAAGTCACATCATGGGACAAAATACTAGCCATGCTTGGCATCGTGCCCACTCAGTGCTTTGCATAGCACCTGGCACCCTGGTGCAAAATATTATTTTGTATTAATAAATAAATAGAATAAAATAGTATTCTTGAAGCAATTCCTGTAAAGAAATACTGCCACTGTCACTGTCACTGTCCTCCCATTGTTCATTGATTTGCTCGAGCATGCCCAGTAATGTCTCCATTTTGAGATTTGTTGTTACTGTGTTTGGCATATTGAATACATCACGGGTAGCTTGCCAGGCTTTGCCGCGCAGGTGAGAGACTCTTGGTAGCTTGCTGGACTCTCCGAGAGGGGTAGAGGAATCGAACCCGGCTCGACCAGGCTGGCTGTGCGCAATAGAGAAATGGCATAGCATATAAGAAATGCTCCCTCCCTTGTGAGTGATACAGAAATGGCTCATCAAACTTTTAGTAATATCATTCGATTATAAGCTATTGTGTATTGTGCCATTTTCCTACCCATTTTTACAGATATTGCCAAGCATTTGTAAGAGGAGGAAAAAATCTTTGGTCAAAGACTATACTTTCAGAGACTATTTCTATAGTTTATTACTAGAGAAGTTTCTCTGATCATGTAGAGTACTTGCAACCACAAAGAGGGGCCAGAGAATCCTCTCTCGAGCATGAAGCCAGTTCTACTTTTGCACCTGCCTTTTACCATTGACAACTGTTATTGTCTTCCTTTGTAAGAGGGAGAGGGAGAGGATGTAGTCTGAGTAGTTACATGGAGAAACACACACACAGACACACACACACACACACACACTCATACACACATGCACACACATAACTTTGATTGCAGTTGATAGAACCAATAGGCATGCCTGATAATGGGGTTTTAAAGCCAAAAAAAAAGGTCCAATGGAATCACCAAAAATATAAATTCAATAGCTGAGAGCTCTCAGGACCAGGGTGAGGCAGTGAAAGAATCAGTGAACCAGTATCAACACAAGAACCTCCAATCCCCAGGGGAGATATGGCCCTCTTTTCCATCTGTTCCCATAGTTCACCATTCTTTTCTTCTCATCAGTTATGGCTTCTAACTCTTCATTAGACTGTAAGTTCTATGAGGACAAGCTCTATACTTGTTTTATCCACTATGATATTCCTCACCACTGCTGGTTTATAAAAAGTAAAGTAAAAGTAAAGGCCCTCCTGTTGATCATCGATTTGCTCGAGCGGGCCCAGTAACGTCTCCATTGGAGACTTTGTTGTTACTGTGTCTGGCATATCGAATACTCTCGGTAGCTTGCTGGGTTTTCTGAGAGGGGCGGAGGAATCAAACTCGGGTCGGCCATGTTGGCTGCGTGCAAGGCAAACGCCCTACCCGCTGTGCTATCGCTCCAGCCCTACTGCTGGTTTATAGGGGGCAATTAATAAAAATTATTAAATAAACAACAAATAAGATAGGGAAGAGGAGGAAAGTTTCCTCCTCAAAGAAGAGGAAATCATTTGCTTTGATACGGGATGCCAACATCTTGGATGTGGGAAGAAAGAGCTTCTTCTTGATGCTGACTTTGCCTGGACACACCAGATGTTTGAAGCACTCACCCTGAGTCTTCCACACGAGGGTCATTTGCTTACTATCTGAGCAAATCCTGCATTGCAAGAGAGGCTGCCCAGGTTGGATATCAGGTTCTTTCACTGACATTGGAACTGGGCAAAGAAGTTCATAGATTTTTACCCAGGAATCCAATCTTCAGGTGGACCAACAGCAACCTCACATGATCTCTGCTGCAACTAAATTCAGATGACAGGGCATTTCCCAATCCTGTAGATGATTTATTAGGATGAGCTATTTGGATGGACTGGGTGTAGTCATCGCCTTTGTAAAGGGAAACAGGATTAGTCCTTAGAGAGTAGAGTTAGCAAATGACACTTCACTTTGAAACAGTTTGGAATTCAATGCCATGAAAACTGAAGGAAGACTTCGGATGGGCACAGAGGGCAAGAAGTTTCCTTCATCGAGTCAAGAAGCTCAAATTTCATTGGGCTAAACAAAATTGGAATACTCTTCAGAACACACAGATCTTGAGACAACTTTTTAACACAGCCCCCATAATTGTGAAAGGAAGTAAATTGAAGCCATTTATCTAAAATCTGTGCTGCCAGGCATGGAATATAGATCTCTCTGCTCAGAGTAAAGGGGACAGGCTACTCACAGCTAAGAATCTGTATTTTTCTCTAGTTTCTCATGCAAAAGGATACCAGGAGAAGCAATAAACAGAGCCCTTTTCTTTCAGCCAGAGACAAATACTCTATTCAAAAACCCAGGCCATGTATGTCCTCAGACTGTCTCAGTCCAAGATTATCTTGGCGTTTGATGAAATCCCACAGGGCAATAACTGAAACCTCGGTGTACTGTGCTGTTTCACATGATTCTCACGGATGGCAGGCAGGAGCTCTTACAAATCACCCATTCACATGTTTGGTAATGATGAGAGGAGAGGGGTGCTTACATTATACATCTAGCAAGTGAGCTAGAAATACTATGACGCAAGGTCAACAGAGCCCTTTGAAGACCCTTAGCTTCACCATGGGGCTGGGATAGAACTATAAAAAAAAAAAAACAGCTCAAGGGGCTTAGAAAGCTAGTACAGCAGATAGAACACTTGCTCTCCTTACACGTGTCCAGTCCAGGTTCGATTCCCAGCACCCCATATGATCCCCAGAGCCCTGCCAGGAGTGATTCCTTAGCACAGAGCCAGAAATAAGGTCTGAGCAAAATCAAACAAAAACCAGTTCAAATGGGGCATAAATTTAAGGGTTGGCTTTTAAAGTGGCTTACAGTAAATGACCCTGGTCGTTAATCTGAACCTTCCTTTTTCTGACCTGTAATTTAAGGCTTTGTAATTTAAGAGAGATCATAGGACCCGGCAAGCTACCGAGAGTATTCGATATGCCAAACACAGTAACAACAAAGTCTCCAATGGAGACGTTACTGGGCCCGCTCGAGCAAATCGACAATCAACGGGAGGGCCTTTACCTTTACCTTTACCATAGGACCATAAATCTAGCCCAGAGGTTAAGGCATTTGTTTTCTACGCAAACAACCCTGGTTCAATTCCAGGCATCACATAAGGTCCCCTGAGCTCTGTCAGGAATGATCCCTGCCTGAGCACAAGCCAGAGTAAGCCCTGAACACTGATTTATGGCCCTGCCCTCTCTCCCAGGCCCCCTTCCTCAAAAAAAAAAAAAAAATAGACACACACACGAATCTCAGAACTGAGCAGCTCACTGCAGTGATGCCTCCGGACTTTGCAATAGGCCACTTTCACTGGGCCAATCCAGATGGGGGCAGGTACGGTTCCTCACCTGCCCCCTAGGAATCCTGGCAACCACCATCTTCTAGAATCCAAAAAAAAGTCGAGGTAGGTGGGAGCAGAAGTGGGAAATGCCAGGACACATGGAACAGGGAGGAGTCAGTCCTTCTTCCACTCTGCCCCATGGGACTCTGAGATGACACCCACAAACTGTCCCCAGCTATTTATTAAGCTCCTACTGGGTCATGATCCAGAGACATACACACAAATCTCAGAACCAAGCAGAGATCGCTCCAGACCCTAATTATTAAAATTTTAGAATTTCCAGAGCAAGGGCAGCCGCATGATGTCATATGCTATTCATAACAAGCAATGCAAAACGAATTGTCTAGCATTGCCTTTTCGGTAGGTTGGAATGGTGGTAGGACTGGTGTCAAAATCTTGAATGTGATCATAGTAGAGAGTATTGTGGAAATTGTCTGCCACACAGGCAGGGGAAGGGTTGGAATGGGAGGGGGGAGTTTACTGGGGATCTTGGTGGTGGAAAATGTGCACTGGTGAAGGGATTGGTAATTGATCATCGCATGACTGAAACTCAAATATGAAAGCAATGTAACTGTATCTCATGGCAAATAAATAAAAAGGGAAAAAACCCAAATAAGGGTAACAAGACTAAAAGATGAAGGTAACAAGAATAAGTGGTATGAGACACTGGGCACTTCTTCCACATATAGATAGTCTCTCTATGTCACTGTTTCATCTTTGTCTCTTCTGTCCCTGCTCACACTATGTGATCTGGAGTTTCTGTAAAATGAGTTTATAAGAAGCAGGATTCAGTTCACAGAGCAGGTGCCAGCACTGTACCAAGTTCATAAGAGGAAGCAGATCCTGAGCAGCCAATAACTATAGGACGTGCTGAGAACTGTAGTGGGACATTTCTCACAGACTGGTAACCTGCTTCAGCTTCTGCTGTGGCCTCAGAGGAGCTGAGCACCACTAGGTGTGGCCCAAACCTCTACCCCAATTCATAAATAGCACTGATCCAATATTTCAAACCCACGATTGCTGCTTAGCAGAGTAGCTAGGATATGGACTCAGTGACAGATGAGTGGATAATAAAAGTGCGCTATATATAGACAATAGAATATTGTATGACAATAAAGGATGAAATCATGCAATTCTCTGCAACTTGGATGGAACTAGAATATATCATGTTAAGCCAAGTAAGTCAGCAGAAGGACAAATATTCTCACTTATCTGTGGTATACAGAATAATAGGACAAAGGAATGCAAGGTATCAAAGAGGAGGAGATCTGTATTACACTGATTCATAAAATATAGAACTGAGAGGAACAGGAAAGGAAAGAAACTGACAGAGGGAGTAAGAGATTGTCTGGAGAGGCAGGAGGGCAGGAACCATGGATACATTGGCAGTGGTGTAGATCTGTGGTATATCTATAAATCTGAACCACAGGACCAACAAAACTGGAAGCATGAGATCCCAACTATAGCAACCAAGCTTAAAAACGTGCTTGCCAAGGAGGTAGGCTGAGGGATGGGAGAAAACTTGGGGATATTGATGGAAGAAAGTTGACACTAGTGGTGGAATTGGTACTGAAACATTGTTTGCCTGAAATTCAACTAAGAATAGCTTTGTAAATCATGGTGCCTTGATTAAAAAGAAAATTCTTTTCACAATGGCAACAACAAAGTACTATTCCTTAGAGCAAAATTTTAAAAATTAATTTCAACAAAAAAGTTAAACTAATCCTGGTATCAATGACATATTAGAGGGCATAGAGCGATAACACAGAGGGCAGGATGTTTGTTTGCCTTGCAAGCAGCCAACCCAGGTTCGATTCCTAGCATCCCATATGGTCCCCTGAGCACCACCAGGAGTAATTCCTGAGTGCAAAGCCAGGAGTAATCCCTGTACATTGCTGGGTATGACCCAAAAAGAAAAAGGGAAAAAAATACATATTAGCTATGAAACTGATAAAAGTGGCATTCAACTGACAACCTATATCATCAATCTCCCTGGGGTTTTACTGACTCTCTGGTGAGAAGCTGGCTGCCCCACCCCCCACCCCCATCTCCCATACATCAGTCTCCTCCAAAGCATGGTGACAGTCCCCCACCAAAAAATTGCCCTGAAGAATTTCTGAATGCCACATGGTGGCAAGCAAGGGGACACGGAGAGGTTGAACTGCCAAGGGTTGGGAGCCAATGCTGAACTGAAGTTAAAAACTTGCAGGACTCCCAGTGGGCCAGAGGGGAAGCTATTTTCAGGCATTTCTGAAATAGAACGAGGGAAGTTAAAAGTCAAATTGAATCACCAACTGGTTTTGTTGAGGAGGCAGCAGAGCAAACAAACGAGAACCTCAATGCAGACAGCAAGGACACAGAAAGTGCTGCCAAGCACGGGAACAGGCGGAAAAGCCTAGGGCTCCAGACACAG